TAGCGTGCATTATTAAACCTTCCTATATCCTGCATGCTTTACAGGGCCAATATAGCATCGTATTTATTAATATCGCATGCGAAATTTTCAATTTCGTGCATAATTCTCAGATGTAGCCAAATTCGGACAGGCTCGTTAAATTACTCTCAGATGCCGCCAAATTCGGACTCGTTTTTTCAATTATTCTCAGTTGTAAACAAATGCAAACTAACTTTTTCAATATTTTCTCAATTGTCAACAAATATAGACCAACTTTTTCAATTATTCCGCAATTGGTTGGCGAAGCTATAACAAAAGGTCTCCGATTTCCAAGCAGATGATTTCACGAATAGCTTTAGCGTTCTAAATGAGATGTTCCTCAACATATCACCCTCGATATTGAAATATTCAAATTTTAACATAGAACACATAAATACTTACTAATTTTACACTTTAACGTAATACTGTTAGTTACACTTTGGAGAATATGAGAAGCTTGATGAATTTTATTCCAGAAAAAATATTTATCCGATTTTAATGAAATCATTTCCGCGTCATGAAAACAAAAGTTCCGCATTAAGATTAGATAAAATATGATTGATATAAATATAACAATCAACGTAGGAAAATCCTGCATAGTTTCGAGTGTTGCTGTAAAGGTTGCTGTAAAAGCAGAAAATTCCACATTTAAAAAGAAAGTGAATAACAAAATGGCATTAAACGGTAAATGAGGAAATAGGAGAAGAATATCAACATCAACGATTTTGAAGGGAAAACTTATACTTTCTAACTCTCCTAATAATTATTTTCAGAACATTTGAAATACCAGTGGAAAAATTTTATTACTTTACTGCTTTTAAATATCTTGGCTCTAGTCGCTGTAAACGATTCTTTGATCGTTAAGGCTTCGGGAGTCTCTAAAAGTTTTGAAAAATTTGCAGAAGAATTTTTCTATGGAGAGATGCAGAAAAATCCCGACAAATTCATATTTGCGCCCTTCGTCGTACAAACTTTTGAAGACATGATTGGATTAGCCTTCAGCGACAAGCCTATACAGCCCGATGAAGAGTTCAGTCAAATTATAAAGCATATCGGGGGAGGTGATGGCGTATCTATAAACTTCACTGTCTACTCGCCCGAAGAACATGACCTCGACTCCGATAAACTTGCACTAATTAGACAAAACTTTCCAACCTTTACAACTTTCGCTCATATTTCTAGCTCACAATCCTGGATAGCGGACGCTATAAAGGCACACAAAAATATGTTAGAATCGCTTGAGAAAATTACAGGTATTAGGCAGAAAGTTTCCGACAAGTTAATGACTTCCAGAACAAAAGTTATAACTGATTGGCAGAGTCCATTCGATCAAACAAATACAAAACCGGGCAAATTTAAAACGGAAACTAATGAAATAATCCTACCCTTCATGCAGCAAGAGAGTACATGTCGTATGAGCATAAACGACGACTTAAAAGCCAAGATTGTCGAGATGCCGCTTAAAGATGAAAATTTCAATGTATGGTTTTTTTTGCCCAACGACCAAGATGGTATGAAAGATTTAGGTGAAAAACTAAAAGCAGAGTCTTTAAAGAATATTGACAGCGCCATGATCGAGCAAGTAGTTGGTATCAGGTTGCCCAAATTCAAAGATTCAACTGAAATAAATTTAGATGAAGAGATTACAAAGGTAAATTATTGAAAGAAAAAAAAATTTGAAAAAAAATTGAATATACTTTTTTTTTGCCAGGCTGGTATACAATATCCACTTGAGGTAAATAGTGAAAATCCTGGTGCAATTATCGAACGGCCCGCCATTAATATTAGAACTGATCTAACAATGTGCGAAAGTCTAGCCTCAAAGGATACTGTCGAAACGATCGATATTGGAGAGGCAGTCGTGGATGAAGTAAGCCCGATCTGCAATATGGATGGTTGCGTTGAATTCAATGCAGCTCATCCGTTTATCTATCATGTCGTGCATAAAGGAAATGACAAAATAGTTCCAATCGTCATGGGCTACTTTAAAAATGTAAACATTAATAAATCAGCATAAATTGTATTAAAGTTTCTTTTTTAAAGAGTGCGAACGTTATTTAAAATCGATTCCATCTTAAAATATTTCACACGACGAATCAACAAAAAAATAAGTAAATCAATTAAAAATATGTTAATATTTAGTTTAAATTTCTATTGCTACGGACGATAACAAATTTGTTTTTCATGGCAATAAGTTTTGCGATGGTTTCTCGCTTCAACATTGCTATCGTTTTAATCCGCTTAAAAAGGACTTTATTTTCTGTTTTTACTAAAAAAAAAGCTTACACTATATACTTATAAGTTAACTAAAAACAAAATTTTAGTTCTTCGATTTGCGTCTTCGATACCGGCATCATTCTATGAACCTATATTTTTAGGTGGCGGCCTATATATGCCAACTACCACTGCATGATCACGTTCGTATGGTTCCAAAGTAATTTGCTCCTGAGGCTTTAATTTGTCGGCTTGCATTTTTTTAACTTCCGCAGCGAATACTGCTTCCGGCTGAGCTGTTGAATCAATACAAGAAGCTTTAATCGAAATAACAAAATGGCCACCATTTTTAAGGAAATGCTGAGCATTAAGTGAAACAATACGTCCTTGATCAGGTTGAGCTACGTCAGCAAATATGGTGTCGACCATACCCACCAACATACGGTATTTATGGGGATGGCGGGCATCTTCGATTATTGGGATAATGTTTGTACGTTTCTTGGCCACATTAATAAGATCCCGGCCGGATCTGTGTGAAAATTCTACAGCATATACAAGACCCTCTGGCCCAACGATATCGGAGACATGTGAGACCGTAGTACCAGATGCAGCACCCAAATACAGAATTTTGCTACCAGGGCTCATATGAATTTTATCCACTCCGCCCAAAATAGCGGCTGCCAATTTTGAGCGGAAAGGATTCCAAACTCTATATTCTATTTTTTCCCCGTTAGTTTCTACCGATATGCGTTTCTCACCATATACTTCTGAACCAGGTACAAAATTTCGAGTTACTAATGCGTCTTCCTTACCGCGTGCTATGAAGACACCCTCATGACGATGAGGTTCAATAACGACAGTTTTACCGCCTTTGAAACCACCACCACGTCCACCTCCGCCGCCGCCACCCCCACGGCCTCCGCGACCACCACCACGACCACCAAAACCACGGCCGCCTCCACCTCTACCACGATCGCCTCCGCCTCTGCCACCACCACCACGTCCACCGCCACCACCTCGTCCACCACCAAAACCGCCACGTCCCCCTCCTCCCCGGCCATTACCGCGGCCGCCAAAACCTCCGCCACCGCCACCACCACCACGAGGAGAAAATCCAGGTTTACCCATCTTTTTAATTGAAAATATTGATACTTTTATTAAATTCACGCACAAAAATCAAAACACGTGCGCTCTTTGGAGAAATAAAAAGACTTTGCTGTTCTCTTACGATACAACTCTACCGCAAGATAATAAAAAAAACTAAACCATACCAACGCATACACGCGTGATGCCAGATGCAAAAAAATACATATTAAGACGCAGCAAATTAAATGTAATATTAGTGCGTATGAAAACTGTGAAATTTAATATTAAAAGTGTGTGAACATCTAATTTATAAAATAGCTCCGCTAGAAGTCACTTCAATACATTCTATTAGATGATATGTATTTTGATATTTGAATCCTTTTTTTAAACGCGAGAATTAAATTCGTATTGTTCAACCCCCTAAGACCGTAACTTATGTCATGATAAAAACATTGTTTATAAGTTCCTCATATTTTAGTATGTGGTAACACTGATACCCAACAATTCTTCTTCTTCTTTCTTTCTTTCTTTTCCCACAGTTCGCCAAAAGCGTATGTAGAAATTATTTTAACATATTCAAATTTTAATTTATTAATTGCCAATATAGAAAAATAATGAAGTTACGAAAAGCTCTAAATATTTTTAATAAAAATATGTTTTTTGCTTCTTTTAAATTTATGTGGATTCCGGCGATATTTACGGATGTATTTTTTGCTCCGTGGTGAATAGTAATTAAAGATGGCCAAGTCAAAAAATCACACCAATCACAATCAGAATAGAAAAGCTCATCGGAATGGAATTAAACGACCTATGCGTAAACGCCATGAGTCCACTTTAGGCGTAAGTGTGTCTATTTCAGAAAGAATTGATTAAAATTTGATTTTTATATTTTTATTGCTTTATTCTACTCTTCTAGATGGATGTGAAATTCTTAACTAATCAGCGTTATGCTCGTAAAAATAATTTATCACGGGAAGAGGCTGACAAACGCCATAAAGAGCGATTAGCTGCGCGGGCTAGTAAGCCAAAGCCAGTTTCCCTGCAACCTTAAGCGCGTTTGCGGCTTCATTATTGGTAACAGTGCTTAGAAAAAAGTAAACGATATATGTAGATTTTTTCACAAGCAATAATAAATTTATTGTGCAGTGATTTTGTTCACTAGTAATAAATACTTAATACTTTATGAAATGGTATATACTCTAAATCTGTGGAATGCTGCCTTCTATAGCCCCATAAATAATGGTCTATCATTATCGAATTCACAGTAGATGTGTCAATTTCGGGATATTTGTCTGTCAATAACGTCAGGACTGCATCTTTAACTTGTTCAACAATATAAATAGAAGCTCCGCGTATCTCTACTTCCATGGGATCGCCATTTTGTAAGATTTTATCAGCCTTCAATATATTCATTAGTTTTGCGCTATATTCTAAGGCACCAAAATGTACTAGAACTTGCGGTACTCGATAATCTGCAAACATGGTTATGTGATGCAAATCTTTAAAATTTCCTAAGCCTCGACCACCAAAACATGCCCACACGTCGCCGATTAATACTTGAGCTCTTTTATACAGTGATATCCGCTTGCCGGCATAAACAGCCTCATCCCGAAAGCAAGGAAATTGTTCGGCAATAGTTTGCAATAACTTTAAGGCAGATCCTTGAGCAGACTTTAAGACATTTTCGAATTTCCCTTGCCATTTATCAAGTAATATGCTCCCGACCTGCTGAAGGCAAATTAAACGCTCTTCCAACAGGGGAATTTGTGTTTTGCCGTCGTCTGAACGAAATATGTCTTGTAACGCTTCTAACGATAAGGTAGAATAACACTTGGGATTTGTTAAATCTAGACCATCTTGCAAAGCTCGATTTATGGCTGCACATAAAGCAAAATAACCGCTTTGTCCATTTACTTTATATTTATTATAATCAGCTAAAATGAAAAGTTCACAATGAACTGTTTAAGAAATAATCTCTTTTCAACTTACTTGGCGTCCAAAAACAGAAATTTAATGTATCAACAACAAAAAACCATTCAACAGCGTGTGCATCTGTTGATTTGGGATGGAGCGGATGCTGTATGAATTGATCCACAATTATACGCTTACTTAATATGCCCTCTACTATTTCCTTAGTAAGATTTTGAATACCGGACGGCTTAACTTCAACATTAACTGCATTCTTCACAATATATTCACCAGATTCTCGAGGCAGCAACACGTTTTCTGACATTGCTATATGTTGTTTAAGAGTAGGAGATGGTAATAAAAAAAGATTTAAAGTATCTTGCAGAATGAAAATTTCAAACATAAGCAAGTGCTACCAGATGTGAAGGTTCGTTGTAAAGCTCAATGTTTCTTCTCAGAGCATCTCTTAACATCATCATCAAAGTTGTGTTAAAGTTGTTAGACTAAATTATAATGCGTTCATTAACTTCACGAGAAGAAATTTTAGTGTACCTTACGTTCATTTAAACTTTAATAAGGTAAAGTGACATTTTAAAAGGATAAATTTGCTCTCTCTTGGCATCTGTTGAAAGAAAACAATGAAGCTCTGGTAATGTTTGAGCAACACAAGACACTTAAGGGCTCGAACATATATACCTTGTAACTTTTGCCTTGCATTTGTCTGTCTCGATAGTTCTTCAGACCGGCTTATAAACACATTACGGAATGTGTTTATTTATTTTATGTTTTTAAAGATGACAAATGAAACTATTGGGTGAGGCAGAAATCACATTGTCTCCTTTCATATACTCGACAAAATATCGTACTTAAGAAATTTTAAGAAATTCTAAAAGTTAGAACATGTTTGCAAATAACCGAGATGGTTGATCGTTATTTCTATTAACTTTTGATTGGCACAAGCTGGTTGATACAAATTCACCGCTTCAGTTTTTATTGTGAGACGACATTTTCAATGTTTTATAGTATACAAAAATATTCTATTATTCAGTTATATGATGTTAGGAATGCATGACGGTTATAATTTTTTTCATTACAGTTCAATATTTTGTTATAGGTTTACCGAAAAATAAAATGAATAGTCGTTCAGTTCCTTCGTAATGATTGAGATATTTGGTGAAGTAAAAAGTAATGGCAACTCTGAAATTGAAAAGGTAGAAAAGTGATTAGAATAGAAAATGTCAAAAATAACAATATTAGATTAATGTTCAAATATTTTACCACAGTTTTCTTGTGATTCGGAAAATATGCGAAGCGTTCTTTAAGAAAATACGCAACATGATAATTTTTATGCAAAGGAAATTATCAAAATAGAAAAAAAGTGCTTAATTTTATGTTTTTGTTTCTTACTACGAGGAGCTTTTTATAAAGAGTTTCTATTCTATTTTAATAAATATATTTTTACATGAAAAAGCAAAGGTGTGATGAGATAAATAAACATATATATAGATGTAAAATATATAAATAAAGTTATAGCACTTCCGGATAGGAAATTGCGTAAAATTTTTTATTGTGAAAAAAGAGATAATTGCAGAAACGAAGGAATTGTGTTTTTGTCATTGTTGAAATGATTCTGCATTTACGCTAATAGGCATTTGAATACCATTATAATTGAGTTCTTTTTTTATTATGAAAAATTGAATGGAAAAACCCATTGTTTAGATTTTTGCTTGCATTTATATCTTTTGTTTTTTTATTCACTTTTCTGAGGAGAATTGCGTTATTAATGTTATTATCGTACGCAATCGCTTAAGGAAGAAAGCGGCAGTCGGTGAACTACGGTTTGCTTATGAAATGCTTACACTAAAGCAGAATACAGATTAGGTTAAAAACAAAAACAAGTGGGAAAGTTACATTCTACCTAGGCCGAGCTATGATATCGTAATGAATATGATAGAAGTATAGGTTGATGTCGGCTCTTATCGCATTTTGGTGAGAGCTACTTTGACATTCGTTGCCGTCCTAAAACCAGCACTTCATTAAACGCTAATGAATAATATATACACAGGGACTCTCCTGCTCGCCAGACCAATGATATGATGATTTATATACTTGCAACGGGGCAGGAGGCTACGAGTTTGAGGCCAAATTAAACATGAGTTCTTATTTACAATTTGTTTTTGCGCGGGCATTGCAAATGAAGTGACTAAACGATTGTACCTTTGGCCTTTAGGGCGAAGAAACAAAAACCATGCAACATAACAATATAAAAACAATGATTTCTGTAATATCAACTTATTTTTCTCATGACTTTATTTAAGCGTTCAGTATTAAATTACGTTTGCTAAATAATTTCTCATTTTTAACGGAAATAACACCGAATCAGAGAATCAATGAATGTATATACCTCAAATACGCAAAAATTGATACGGTTAACGATTTAGTAGCAGATAGTTGACTATGATTTATGAGCATATTACATTTATTTAGTTAATCTCTGAAGAAGTAGAAAGAAAAGAAAAAAGTGATCAATATTTAGATCTGTCACCTATGATGACAGTCAGTGAAACAAAATTTGCAAAAAAGCAAATTTTTCCCTTAAGATTTTTGCAGAATTTACTTAGGTGAATATATAAGTCACATTCCTTATTGGCTTAGTCCATTACAAAAAAAAAAAATAAATAAATAAATAAATAAATAAAAAAATAATTTAGATCCGGATAAAACGCCTATGTAAGTTTCTTACTTGTTATTTCTAGAGCTGACATTATTGAATAATAAAATGAACTCATCCAGTGCAGTGGTAATAAATAGTTAATTTTATCCTACATTGAAGCATACAAGTAAAAATATATCCAGCCCCAAAACGTGTTGATTTGTATGTGGGATTGTGAAACAGGTAAGCATATCATGTACATGTATACATGCATATATATAATGTGGGAATATGCAGTAATATATATAGATATTATTTATGCATTTTATGTATATTCAGCTTACTAAGTGAATTAGTACAAATATTCGAACACTGCCGTATGATCAATATTTAATGTTTGTTAAAGTTTTTGGAAATATAAAAAATGTTCTAGTTGGTGAGGTATTTAGTTCTTTTTTTTCATTTGACGTTTGTTGATTTTTAACCAAGAATAATAAGAAAATTAATTCAATTAATTGTAACTATTAATTTTTAATACTTTGGATTATCGTACAGTAAAATTTAGTGTGTAATTAAACCAATAAGAGGAACATACCGAAATCTATATCCTAGGTACAATTTCATTCTTCTGGTATATGGGTTATTCGAGAGTTACTTCTGCGAACTAAATCTATTTCAGAATAGTCGGCGCCATCGTAACTCTCCTTGCTAAATTCCAATTAATATAACAAATTAGGCCGATGAGATTCCAGGCTCTTAGGCCGTTAGGGTAACCGAGCTCGTGCGATCTATTGTGTATAAAAATAACTTTTCATCTCAAAAAAAGGATTCTGTTTTATGGGTATTCCTAAAAGAATCTGTCTGCATCATCGCAGGAATCAAAACACCTTTCGGATTAACAATAACTAATCTATTGAGACCGTTGTTAATCGGAGAGAGTAATGTCCGCTAATAACAGCAGGGAGGATACGAAGATTCAAGCTAGAACTGAACGGGTTTTCAGAGCGAGATACGCTATAAGGAGTCGGTTTCCTTATTGCTAAACACTCGCAATAGTATAGCTTTTTATATATAACGCACATTACGTACAAGTGCATCCTCTTTAGGGATTGCTTCATTGCAATATACGCCACTCAGTTGATTCCTTCAAATAGGGCCATCAAGGATTTACAGGCTTATCGTCAATCGTCCATGTTATCACCTCGCTCTTTATCATGGCTGAATATTCAGCAATTGCTGGAAGCAGCGCTGCATTCAGCCACGTCCACCGTAGTCGCCAAGTGCAGCGATGCATTCAGCTAAATTCATTGCAGAGCAATCGCTATGTGCAGCGCTGCATTCAGCTAAACGCATTGCAGCTAGTTGCAGAGCAGTTGCTATGTGCACCGCTGCAACTAGGTGCAGCACAATCGCTGGGTGCAGCGCAATCGCCAGTGGCCGTGTTGTTCTCTTGGCTTGCACCTATCAACCGCAGTTTTTAAGATATTGTCGTCAAACTTGGTATACTGACATGTTTTGGGCCAAGGAGAAACACTACTGAAAATGTTACTGATATGTATAACCGTAAGGTTGTGTAGAGTATTTTATGGTGGACGGCGACCAATTATTGTTTTCTGTTTAAATTTTTTTTTATTAATAATCCAGATTCTTTTTTCGCTTGGTCTAATTTTCAAGACTCAGAACTTCTTCCTTACCAAAACTTAAGTTCTAGACATAGTAAGACGATTAACGCCATTTACCAAGAGAAGTATGTGATGGCCATAACAATTGCTTTCACCAACTAATTTATTAAACAAAAGGTTTTCATAGTCCTAACAAATATTCCAACATATCGTTATTATTTATTGTGGATGAGTTACGACTACCCGCTAAGGGTAGGTGCATTTGGCTGCAGCGCTTTACTTAACACCTGTGCTGCACAAATCCACGCATCAGTACAACGCAATGAGAGAGAAACCTTTCCAAAGTCGCAGTAAAGAACGTATGAAATAACAGTAGATAACACGCAGCCGTTTACTGTTCACTGTGTTTATTGTTGTTAGAATACATGTATTATGCAAGCAAAATCAAACGAACGGACATTCGTTCGTCTCTGTGGTGTTTGTCAGCCTCACCGCCGGTCCTTTCGACCGTCACCACCAGACACCGTTATTAATGATATTAATATTTGCCAGATGTTTTTGTAATTTCTGCGGCATTTTGTTATTACTCCCGTTTGGTTTATGATCGTAACTTTCATTGGCAGCACTTAAAATATTGTATAAAAATTAGTAGAAAACGCTGCAAACCATTTCATTTAAATTTTTCACGCAAATCCGAAAACAAATATAATTTATATACCAAGAGTACCTCATACTTGATAAACAATTATAAATAAAAATTCATATCTGATTTTATGTTTTAGTCGCGTCGAAACCTTCCTTATTTACGCATTCTCTGTTTCGCCCTCTCTCACTCAATTCCTTAAAAAAATGCTAGATTAGCATGCACAAAAGAAGAAAAAAAACTATTTAATATTTGCAAGAACAATGAATCCTCCTGTTTACATTCGTTTACGCACAAATCCACGCAGGAGTGCAATGCACTGCGCAATGAGAGAGAATCATTTTGAAATTATCGACTGAGCATTGTTTCTACAGCAGCCTATGTAATGAAAAGCAATCTTCAAAGTTCCATAAAAAGATTCACAGAAATTACTTAGGTGGTATTTCTATTTAACTTTCGTAATAATTTTATTTTACTTTCATGATATTTTTCTACCCATCAATGAAGGATGTGAGGTATATTAATTTGTTAAAATGTTTACAACGCCCAACGACGCCACTAAGTGCACATATTTGATCGGCAGGAAATTCTGAATTGATTAAGTCATATCTGTCAGTCCGTCCGTCTGTATACTGTTTGTTGTAAACATTCTCCTGGCCGCAAAAATAAAGCTTTCGACTTCAAATTGGGCAAAAATATTGAAAGTTTTTACACGGGGGTTGGTACTGAAAATGGGTCAAATCGGTTGGAGGGAGCGCCCACAGCAACACGTATAACAGACCTGTTTTTCAAAATAAATAAAAATTGGTTTTTTGCTCACTAATCATAATCTATTGCTGGTAAATGTAAAAAAATTTCTACGCTTTCTTCGCGCGATGCTATAGTACTCGTACGAAAATATTATGTTAAGTACGAGATTTTC